AAAAAAAAAAAAAACCAAACCCAAACCCCTTGTCATCAAGTCAATTGCCTACACTGGGTTTCTGGCACTATAAACCATTATGAAAGGAGATTGCCCCTCAGTCTCCCATGAAACAGCTGGTGGATTCAAACTGTTGGCCTTTTGGTTAATAACTTAGCGTGTAGCACACGACACCACCAGAGTTCCTTATGTATGTAGCCTGTTGTTGCCATTAAGTGAGAACTGACCCTGCAGAGGGTTTTCAGAGGCAAGTAATCTCACAGGAAGAGATTGTCCATCCTTTTCCCACAGAGCACCTGGTGCATTTGAACTGCGTGCCTTCAAGATTGCAATGCAATTTCTTGCCACTAGGTTATTTCCCAAGCATGATGTCTTTTTCCAAGCACTGGTCCTTCTTAATAACATATGCACAGCTTTGTACACTAGTGCTTTATTCACAACAGCAAATAAATTCAAACAACCAGTGTCCATAAACAAATGAATGGATGGTAAATTATAATACACACATAAAATTAAATATTATACAACATAAAAAGTGAAGAGTGTGGGAATATACACAGTGGACCTGCTGGGCATAAGTGAAATAAGTCTAGCATATGAGAACAACTCTTGCATGGGCCCTCTTTTATAAGAAGATGTTCACTCACTCCTTGTCATGTGAGAATCGATCAAGGCTGTAAATCACGCAGAAGAAGCCTGATCACCTTCCTCCTGCAGAGCTGCTGATGGCTTCAATCCGCAGAGGATGTGGCATCTGAGTTAAGGGCACAATCCTCTGTGGACTAGACCACCAAAGCCCACTAGAGACAAGAATAGATAAATACATGTATAGATTGAATCTTCAAGGATATGAACATGTACGGCCAAGCACAATCAATAAGAGTGCATCTAAATTCCAAAATCAATCTCCATAATAGTCTATGTGTTTCCTACTGCCAAAGGGGCCCTTTAGAGTAGTGAGAGAAGATCTTCACCCTGAAACCCACAGCGTCCCTTTTCAGCAGGAAGTAGCTAAGAGAATACGCCATCCCCTTTTCCTTATGACTCAGGGTGAAGTCTCTCTCAGGGAGGAGTGATAGGGAATGGCAAAGGACACACTGACAAAGAAGATTAATCAGAACTGGCTTTGACAAGCACTGTGGCATTTGGACAAGAACAAACTGGGAGGAGGGTAGAGAGAATAGTGCAACAATGAATGAATGGAAACCCAAAATCTCTGTAAATGTTTATGAAAATTAATAAAATATAGAAAAAAAATACATGTATAGATTGAATAATGTTCTTTGGTGATTTCCCAGAGGAGGGAGGGAGGAAAGTGCACTTTATGTAGTGGACTTGGTTCTTTTGATAATGAGAAAAGTAGCACTGAGTATTGCTGCAGTGTGCACAAATCAAGCAGAATCAAGTGTTTGAGCACATATAGCTGGGTATGGGCAGATTGGTACACAGGCAGGCTTGTTGTTATTGCTGCTGCTAGGTGTCATTGAGTCGAGTATGACTCACAACATCTCTATAACAACTGATCTGAACACGGTCCTGTCCCGTGCTATCCTCACAAGCTCCGACACACTTGGGTCCATTGCTGAAGTCACTCCGCCAACCTGTCTGGTAAAGGGTCTTCCTCTCTTTTGCTACCCCTTCACCTTGCCAAGCATGATTTCCCCTAAAAGGAATAACCTTTCCTAGGAAAATGCCCAAATATGTGAGACAAAGTTTCATCATCTTTGCCACCAAGGAGTATTCTGGCTGCTTCTCTAAGACATATTTCATAGGTAGGTACAGATAACTAAATCATGATGTTGATGTTGTTACTGTTGCAGGTCCCTGGGCTGGCCCTGTCTCTTAGCCGTCCTATGCGCACTGCGCACTGCCAAGTCCTGTGCCATCCTCACAGGTCCTGCTCTTTTCAAGTCCATTGTTCCGGTCACTGTGTCAATCCATCTCACGTCAAGCATTCCTCTTTTTCATGGACCCTGTGCTTTCCCAAGCATGATGTCTTTTTCCAGAGACTGATCCCTCCTGATAACATGCCCAAAGTACATGAGATGAAATCTTGTCAGCACAAGACAAAGAGGTAAAAATTACTCAGAGGAAAGAGATGGGAAGATAAGGGGGCAGAGGAGTTAGAGAACCGGAAAAGAAACAGACTAAACACCATTAGAGAGAATGTTGATAAATTGTGATAAATGTTAAGTCACTAAGCAATTTGCACAGAAATTGTCAAATGGGAGAAAACTGTGCTCACCACTAAACCACCAACAACTCAGAATCTGACAAATGGGAACCTAACTTGCTACTTAAACATTCACCAAAATTCAAAATAATAATATTTTTAAAATTTAAAAAAAAATTGAGCTTAGTCATTGAAAACAACCATGTGTGCTTTTCGGCTGTGCAGATGCAAACAGGTAATTGGGCAAGAAGGAGGCTCTATTGTTGTTGTTGTTGTTGTTGTTGTTGTTGTTGTTGTTGTTAGGTTCCATGGAGTCAGTTCCAACTCACAGAAACTCAGATCTTGCAGAATCTGTACTGTCCTGCACAGTCCTCATGTTCTGTTGGGCTTAAGTCCACCACTGCAGCACTCTGTCCGTCCATCTTGTTCATGGTCTCCCTCTCTTCCACTGACTCTCTACTTTGCCAAACATTATGTCCTACTTCAGGGCTGATCCCTCCTTTAATACGGAGATGCCTTTGAGACCAAGTTTCCCTGTCCCTGCTTCTAAGGAGCATTCAAGCTGTCTGCCCCCAAGACAAACTTGTTTGTTCTTTTGTCTTTGTCCATGATTAGAAGGTTCAAGAAGCAAATTCACATTCACAGAGTTTTAGACTTCAAGTATCTATAATCCAGGTTTTAAAAAAGATATATATTAGATGGTATACCA